TCAGTTCATTCAGTACATTTCCTAAATTGGATTTAACTGATGATTTAACCCCTCATATAAGATGTCACATTGTTCCCTGAAAAGTGTAGCACAATGGGAATTCCCTAAAACTGTGCATCAGCTTGGATACTTTGCTTCATAGGATCCAGGGTGCTGGCAGGTCAAATGCTGTTAAAGAAGTTCATTGAGACACACATCATCAAACTTCTAACAGCTGATTTTCTAAGCGAACCTCATCAAATGACTAATACTTTAACATTCAAGGTGAACTTACAATGTCAACCTCAGATCTGCAAGGTCTTGATCTGACCACATTAACACGCGCACTGCAGCGGGTCTGAGCCGAACACGAACTGCAGGGGGGGGGGGTTGAAAACAACCCCCCCTGAGATCTCGAAAACGGCGCAACGTAGCGACAAGCGGTAAACGGCGTTGGATAGGTTAAGATGAGATCGACAAGAAATACTAAGATCATTTTTGGGTCAGGTCAAAAACGAGGTCACCAGAGGTCACCGAAGACAAAATGTTACGATTTTCACAACAGGAATTTCGCGGTAGTTTTTCTTGAATAACTTGTCTTGCACACAAGACAGAGGATCGATTCGAACGCCATCGTTCTTAGCTCGTCAAGGCGCATCGAATGATATATAATATGACCTCGAAAGGTCAAGTTGAAAATTTGACCTCAGGTCAAGGTCATGACCTGACCGAAATAGGTCATGTTGCATATCATTCGATCCGCATTGACGAGAAAAACACGATAAACGTCGAACGGAATCTCTATCTCTACTCAATCTCAAGTTATTGAAGAAAAACCGCTGGTGACCTCAGGTGACCTAAGATGACCTGGAGATCACCTTCCAAAGGTCATAAGTGATATGTTTCGGTGAAATCACCAACAGGGACCTGTAATACTATGATCCTGAGCGTATTGAAGTCATAGGATGGCATTCAGAGTAAGTTGAAATTTCTCCCATTGACTTATAATGGGCCGGTCGCAAAAATGACCTGACCTTAGGTCATCGATATAAAAATTCCGAGATATACAAGTTGTAGCTCGTGATGACTTTACTATTTCCTGTGGGTTTCAAGATCATATCTCAACAACTGTGGGCTTGGTGGGATTGCAAACTTCGAAATTTACGTTTCGAGGTAGGGTCACTTGACCTGACCTGGTGACCTGACCATAGGTCACCTGGGGTCAAAATTTTTACTCAAGGTGTGCAAAAGTTGTGAGAACAGGTATGCAAAATTTGACGGCGCTACGCGCCGCCGTTTTCTCGCAATTTGCGAAAAACCACAGGGGGGGGGGTTGAAAACAACCCCCCCCCCCCTGCAGTGCGCGTGTTAAGAGTCATAATGGATTTATGCTGCACCACACGGAAAAGTAGGTGATGAACAGTGTTTTTATTCCATTAAATACCTAGTTTTTAAATACTCTTATCATCAATCCCCCCAAAAAGTACTTTTTTATCCGCGCCCGGCTGGGGGTCCTGGATTTCCACGCCCTGCTGGGGGGGGGGGGGGGGTGTTTGAACACCCCCCCCCCTTGTAACTCGGCTCCTGGGCCACGTAGCGATATGCGGAAGGCGGCGTTCGAAAGAGCGTCAAAAATAATGACGAAATCACTTCAGTCAATTTTTTGGTCAGGTCAAAGGTCAGGTCACCAGAGGTCATTGAAGGCAAAATTTCGCCGATTTCCAGGTCGAATATCGAAAATTTCCAAGAAGCCAACACATAACTCGGGAACCAATAGAGCTACAGCGCCGCGGAAAAGCGCATTCGATAGCCCTATTAACGCCCTTTCTGAGTAATTCTCTCAGATTTGACCTAACGTCAACGGTTTTGCCTGCAGGGGGCAAAAACTGCAAAAATAGCCGATTTTTTCGGAAACAGTTTTTCGGTAATAAGTTTTGACCCAAGCCTTGTACGAGCTTACTTTTACCGGCATCGTGTTCCTCTCGTCAAGACGCATCGAATGAACTATAACTTGACCTTGAAAGGTCAACTTGAAAATTTGACCTCAGGTCAAGGTCATGACCTGACCGGAAATGACCTGACCGGAAAGGGTCATGTTGCATATCAGTCGATCCGTATCGTCGAGCTGAACACATCTAAGGCGTTTTCATCGCTCTAGCATGCCTCTATCAAAAGTTATTTGCGAAAAACTGTTAGATACCATTCGTGACCTAAGATGACCTCAGGGCATAAACAAGGGTCACGGACACCATTTTCATGTTCAGTGTGTCTAAACCACTTGTAATTCGGTGTTTGGGAGTGTTTATAATGTCTTTCGTCCAAAAGAGGCCCATTTCAATTTTCTCCCATTGACTTATTATAATGGGGAGGTCGCAAAATTGACCTGACCTTAGGTCATCGATATCAAAATTCTGAGATATACATTTTGTACATGCTGTTGCTCTTAGCAATCGCTGAAAGTTTCAAAGCGATCAGTCACTCGGTGTAGCTATGACAGACATTGAAACTTTGTATGAGGTGAGGTCACTTCAAGTGACCTGGTGACCTGACCTTGAATGACCTTGTTCTGAAATTTTCACACCATGTGTAGAATTGATGTATGATAAGGTGTACCAAAAACTAGCGTGTGTCTAGTTTTTTAGATATTCGCGAAAAACCACAAGGGGGGGTGTTCAAACACCCCCCCCCCCCCAGCAGGGCGTGGGTTAAGATAATCAAGCAATTCGTGTTCACAATACATGCAAATACTAGACAGAAAGAAAAACAAAGACTTTTGAAGCCCAGTCAGAACAGTGTCATAAGTCACAAGTCACAATGTTGAAACTGCTACTGCAGACAGTTAGTTGGTGACTCACAAAATCATAAAACCACATTCATAATCAGATTCAAATAGGCAAGATTCAGATTAATGTTGATTGGATAAGGTCATAACCCCAAAATTTCCAAGCTCTCTCACCTACCATATTAAGCATGAGGGGGGGGGGGGGCAAAAGCTGATGCTTTTCATTATGTAAATTACCAATACAAGAATATTACATTACGAACTAGATGTGATGCATGCTCATGTCTTTCATTGAATGGCAGCTACCCGCACGTAGGTACCTACTTTGTAACACCATTTTTCAAGCAATGCTTGAGTTGACTGGGGTTGGAGACATCATATTGATAGTGGTCACAAGCCACAAGGCTAAGATCGCCTGGTTATCTTACAGCAGGCATCACAGGTAGTGCCACCTGTTTGTGAAAAGTCGCTTGTGCTAGACCCACCAGTTCTTGATATTTAACTTGATATTTAATTAGGTAGGCATGTGAATTTACTTTAGGTTGCACATTGGTAGGTTGTAGGTTGATAGGTTGTAGGGGTTGTAGGTTGGTAGGTTGCAGGTTGGTAGGTTGGTACTTGGTGGTAGGTTGTAGGTTGGTAGATTGTAGGTTAGTAGGTAAGGTTTGATCAGGTAAGATATGTTTTGTTTTATGTTCTGTAACAAGGTCTCTGAGTCTGATTCTGACTGACTATTTAGCATTTGATAACAGACCTTTAAAAGCGAGATTCATTTAATCATCTCAAGCAATAGCAAGCCTAACAACTTTTCACAAACAGGTGGCAGCACCCGAGACACCTGCTATAAGAATGTCAATCGCCTTTAACAGACCTTGCTCAAACTTTACTGAAAATCAAGTTCTCAACATCCCGACTGGAAAAAATGCCTCCACTACGCTGAAGTTCTCGGCGGAGGTGATGCGCCGAAATTTCGGCGCAAGGGCTTATGCGCCGAAATTATTTTACCAAGCCATGCTTCATGCGCCGAAAATTTTCAAGGCTTACTGATGGCTGCAGGCTGTAGCCACGCACTTTTCGTCGAGGGGGGGGGGGGGGGGGGGCTGGCGTGTGTGTGTGGCTGTCTTCCAGTGACTACTGTCTACAGACGGTTGTTGGCACGGTCGATGGGATCGGGCAGACAATAGACATCAGCAGGCCATGCGGGACCGAGCACCAGCGTTCGCTATCACAAAATCTCCTGACTCACAAACTCACTGGCATGTTCCATAACGTAACCTTTATTTTGTTGCCCGGCTCTGATCAGCAGTATGTGCCCAGCCGGTGACTGACGCCTGACGGGGCCTTCAACAGGCGTGGTGCAAGCACAGCCGATGGGATCGGGCAGATACCAGGCCACGCGGGACCGATTGCCAGCGTCCGCTCGCAAACCACACGCCGGAAATACAGGAATCACAAAGGTCAATACGCAAACGATAGCATACGTTATCTGAACTAGGGGATCCGACAATCCATAACCTCACTCTCGATCGGTGAACTGTTCCCGCCGTGGGAGAGTCACTATCAGGTTCACTGAACATGACTTAAATACCCTGAGACGAACACGAGACAAGATAAGTGATATTTAAGATGTTTAACTTCCGAAGACATTTAACCCTCGCCGGCCGAGGGGGGTTGGTGCCACCCCCTGAGGCCCTGACGGGTTTTTCGCGACTGCTCCGGAGCCGTATGCGATAGAGAGATAGAGAAAACCGTCGATTTACGCCGAAGTACGCCGAAAATTTCGGCGCAAGCCGTCGATTTACGCCGAAGTACGCCGAAAAATTTCGGCGCAAACGCCCAACTACGCTCGAGTTCTCGACGAAAGCGTGCATTTTTTCCAGTCGGGCTCAACATAAAGTGCAGAACAAGAAGGCAGGTGTGGGCAACCATCATGCCTAATGAATTCAATGAAATTTTCTTGTGCAAGAAAAATTTGTCAAAGAAGTGGTAGCACGTGTATGTTGCATCAAAAACATTTGTTTGTGAACCTCAAGGACACCATACTTAACGTCGGCAAGCCATGGTTGAGATAGTGAATAGTTATAGCATACAAGCAGTTCAAACAATGAATACAAGATTTATTTGTTAAATTCAAAACATGTGTCAACATAATTTAATTGTTTTGCTAGGGTTTATTAACTTTAAATGTTAAATCAACCAGAAACAAATGCTGTAACAAATGTAGACGAATGTGACTCACCCTCTCCAACTTCTGGAAATACTCTCTCAGATAGCTGACTGGATTGTCAGGCCTGTTGACACATAACTGTACGATACAGTCTTTGAGTATTTGTTGTACATTGTGAGTTTGCACGTAATTTTCGCACTCATGAAGGCTTTGATCTTCGTCCATGTTCGCAGCCATCTTGATCGCACAATGCACAAGCACAGTGCTGAAAGTTGTTTACACTTCCACACCTTCGTTTCGTTTGTACTAAGTTAGTGCTACTAAAATATTGTTTGTGAAAACAACATGTATTTTAACAACTTCCTATTTTCTTTCTTACTTCCTATTTTCTTTCTTAGCAAAAGACACCGAGCAAAACTTCTTTGGAAAAATGTCAATCATGGAAAATATTGAATCATGCAGAAATATATTTTGTGCCACACCTGGACGCAGCAATTCCATTGCTACGGTTGGAAAAGGTTCTGCATCACGAAACGATGATAGCGCTATTGAATGCTGAACGAGTAGCTGAGGTTCGGTGACGTCCGCTAGAGTGCAGCACAGTTAACCATCTGAGGAGCCTGGGCATTGCCAGGGCTTGGCCAGGGCCAAGCCAGGGCTCTAAAGGACAGTGCAACTCCGGTAGTGCACGTATGGTGCGCCTTGTGCCGTTTCATGAATGCGATATATAAGATTGCTGTTATTCCCAGTGACCTTATCCAACACTGAAGGACAATAATAATATCTCTGGCCTCTGCACATAACTGGGAGTTGAAGGTTTGTCTGTCTGCGAAAGATTCTTTCGCGCTGAGAGCATTTCGACATTTTTGGATCAAGCAGAGGCTTGCTTGCAACGTGACCGTCATAAGGAAGCGTCACAGATCAGTAATATGACCTGACCCTGATTCCTGAAGAACTTTAGTGGTGCCAAAAGATCCTGATTGAATCAAAGGTCAGTTGTGCCAATTATTAACTCTCTGCCGCTAACGTGTTCCAAGCAATCGCGAGCCGTTGTAGTTTTGTGCATCTTTCCCCACTGGATGGGCGTCTTACCTTGGTCTTACCATCTGTAAGAATCTTGGGTCTTACCCACCCACGGGCTAAGATGCCCGAAATGACTTGCTCGAGGAAAACACGCATTATTCTTAAAAAAAATGTCTTATGCGGAGATGATGTGTAATTGATCCATAGGCAAAATCAATACATTTTTTTAATCGCTTATTAAGCGACGAACCTCATCAAGTTTGTCCGCGAGAGCAGTTTTAGAGAGGACGGGGGCGACTTGCCCCGTCCTCTCCCCTAATCCTAAGAAAACGAATAAAACGATATTCCGGTTGGCTCATTCAACGTTTTTTTTCGATACAAGCTGGGTTTTATTCATAACGGAAGCAAATTAGGCAAAGCATTTGCCATTTCCAGTTACGACTAAAGTGACTTCATTAGATAATCGGTCATCATGCAAGAATTGTCATAGGTAGGTACCCCGTTCAAACAGAGTCAGTTAGTTAACAGTTTAGTTGACACTTAACTAAAACAATGTTTTGTGCACTTGTTAAGCCACCATAAAAAGGATAAAGGTGCGCTATTTATTTCCATCTAGCTCTACTGCTGTAACATTTCTCACCGCCCCTTTCACATTTACACGATTGCGGCATTGCCTAGTGCCTACCCACCCCCTCCGCACACCAGTTCAGTCATGGCCACATTCCACCGAAAACGGTAGCGACAGCTGAAATCCCACCAATCAACCCTCCCCCCCCCCCCCGACCTTCATACTTGCTGACACGTTCAGCCCGTCCTACACTCAGCGAACCACGTGGAAAAAGCATAACCGTAACCCTACGGGAGGGGGGAGGGGGCTAGAGTGCTAGAGGGTGGGCGAGGGGGCAAGCCATACTTCGGGGCACATCCATGTGCTCCCGAGTCCCATCCATTAGCCCAGAGTGGTGCGCGGCGATCGCCAGCCACGATCGCGTGCTTCAGAGCCGTTCTACGGGCTCCGGATGGACCGCGCATTGCCGGCGGCCTGCCGAGACGGTCGTGGCGCGCTGCGGCGCAGCGTGGCGCAGGCGCTGGGAAGGCCGCCATTGGGGGTAATGATGAACAGGGCCGCCGCCGCGCCAGTGGGAGCTCCCCGGCCAAGGACGGAAACGTGATGAATGATATGGTCGGAAACTGTGAATTAATTATTGAAGCCGAGTGTGTATCGTTTGGTTTGTGGAAAATACACATTTCCTAAGAATAAATGGTGTGCTTGAGACCAAACAGGCTTTGGACTTCTTCCTTAGGTTAGGTAGGTAGGTATATGAGTATAGGCAGTAGGCACTGAGAAGGCATTTTAATTTGATACAACTGTGTACAGGCTTACATGGGCCCACCTATCCACTCATTAAACTACCTACGCGCGGGCGCATGTACCTACTCGTATTCTTACCTATATTCCCTAGAGCGCTCAGTTTGATTTTTGATTTGTATTGGTGTAGTTAATTATAATTTATAAAACGCGCAATGGCTGCAACTGACGAAATTTAACTAAAGAAGTCGCATGGCATGACTTATGGAGAAGTGCTTATTAAAGGCACCAGCTGCCTAAAACATGGACATAAAAAGATACAACCCGGCGTTGTGCACAACTGCACAACAAACGTGACGAACATCACTGGTTATTGCATGCTGGATCCACTTAATACCTACGACTGCACTAGTCTATGTGCCTCACAAGAAGAATATTATCTTTAATGCATGCATAATACTTAGTGATAATGAACAATACCATAGCAATACAGCATTCCTCGCATATCTCACTCTCAGCATTCATTATGTATGATACGTACGAAACCCACTACCTCAACAAGGTAATTAAACCATTAAACATGTTCCGTAAGGTGGGGCTATTTGAGACAGTGGGGCTATTTGAGACAGTATTTAAAATTGCTATAAAATAAAAACCACTTAAAATTTATGCTTAACTTTTTGCTCAGGCGATTTACTGCTCGATTCCACACCTCCCTGAGCAAAAATATCACACAAAAATCAAACGATATTCATTTTATAGCGATTTTAAATACTGTCTCAAATAGCCCCACTGTCTCAAATAGCCCCACTTTACGGTTCGTTAAACTCTGATAGTCCGCTGATGTTGTGAGGTTGTTTCCCCTAATTCAGCCTTCATGCGGCCTCTACATGCAGTGACCTCTCGCATGGGACCCTATAAAATCCGTAGCCAGGTTCAGTTCAGCCTATAGTTAAAATCCGCTGTCTTCTGTAGGTCGCTTTGTCGAGCATTTCGTCTTGACCTTTGACCCCTGGCTCATGGCTGTGTCCACTCCTTACCCCTGCGCACTCACGCCAGTGTCTATGCACCATTCGCACAATCCAAAAAGCACGTTCCGTGGATCAGTAATCGTTACGTGTCATTTGTCCGACGTCAGTTGCGCCTGTGGCTCGACCTATCACCAAGTGTTAATTAGATTATAGGTTTTCATTCTAATACAGCTGCACTTGCGTGCGCACGCGTCGCTAATCACTCCGCCGCGCAACATGTCGTCGCTTCAACCGCACGGGTATCGCCGCCGCTGCGCCGCCGCTCGCCGCCACGGCCGCTGAACTGCGCCAGAACCGCCGCCGGCACCGCCCAGCGCGACACGTGAGAGGCGGGTTCGTCCGTTTCTATTTCTATAATCTGCAGCCATGAGCGTGGCTTTATTGTTGGTTCGCATGCCGAGCGGCCATTGGCCAGCGCGCCGACAGACCTGTGCCGCTCAGAGCGGCGCAGCAACAGACTGCGGCGGCCAATTCGGCGCGGCTGCCGACTGCGGCGACCAAAGTGGCGCGGCTCTCCCAGCGGACAGCGGCCGCGTCGGGGCTCATGGTCCGTCGCACTAGCCAGAACGCCAGTCCAGAGTGAATTAAATTATGCATGAAATGGCCACATAAATCATATGAATGTGGTCAAAGGGTGTTCTGGCACGTATTGTTGCTGTCAACGAAACTTCCCAAAGCGATTATGACACCGCACATGGAGGCCCATGACAGATGGTATCGGCAGTTAGTGCAAAATGCCGCGCCATTACCTAGCCAACACGGGGCCGTGAGCTTCTGTTCGTCCATTTCCTGAGCAGTAACAATGAGCATTACTTAGAGAAATGTGCAAGCTGTAGAGTTATTGGTGTGCACGGGTACTGTGCACATGGGACTGGCCTGGCCTGATAATATGAGCCAGGAAGTTGAAGCTGGTTGTGGATGCCGATGTCCGATACCTATCTGTAACGTCAATAAGTTCTCGGTATAACTAGACTGACCTTCTTAATTCAGTATTGGAGTTGGGCCGAATCATTAACAAAAGTAAATAAAATGTTTTGAATTATCTTTGATAGTGTTAGTGACCTGCCTCACCGGAAGTGCAGGCCCAATCCTTAGTTCGTCCGCTCATCTCCCCCAGACGGCCGGCTGCAATCACAATGACCTCGGACGACCAACAGCGGCCCACCCGTGCCGCCCGTGCCGTCCGTGCCGTCCGTGCCACCCGTGCCGCCCGGGGGCGCTGGGGCCGTCGCCCGAGGCCATACCGCCAGCTCAAAGGCGGCTTTCGAAGAACGCGCCGCCGTACAGCTGCACGCATCAGCTCGCGCAGTGCCAAAGGGCCGCCGGTGCCATGGCTCTGCAGCTCGGCGCCACCCGTGGCATTGTTCGCTGAAGTCGGCCGCAGGCGTAGTTCCGGCAGCTGCGGCCCCGCCGCGCGCGCAACGGTCCCTGCGCACGCACCCGCGCCGCGCCGGCACTGGGGAGTAAAAACTGGGGGCGAGCGAGGCTTCAGAGAACGGAGGGTGGTGTGGGTACTGCGTAGAAGCGATGTGGGGAGGAACAGCCAACTGAAGTTTTTGTAGCGAGTGTTGATAAACCGGTTGTGAAGGCGTGTCATTGCGGCTATTGACGTTCTAGCAATCTCCCGCCAGAGCCTGATAGCAAAAAAGCTTTCCGCTTTTGTTTGTTTTGTTTTGTTGAAGGAAAGCTCTTTCGGCTTGAGAAGAACATTGCAGAGCCATGGGATGATAGAATTTGGCGTAGTCATTGGGCTGTGCGGACCAACGACGGTGCGTCGCAGCAGCAGACCATCCCGATGGGACAGTCCACCCTGCCGCTCAAACGGTCACCTCGGAGAGGAAGTGGCCCTGGTGTGGGCCTGTCCTCATCACCGGTTGTCACGTGGGGAGTGACCGCCAGCCCGGAAAGGGAAGCGTGAGGGGGTTGTGGATGGGATTGTCCT